AATTTAGACTTAAAAAAGTTTATTTAAACTCTTGAAACTACAAGAAATATTAAAAAAGAACTAAACACTAATTACAAAAAATGTTTCAAAGTACATATTTATGTGAAGAATCTAGTATTTTTTATGATTGTGATAATGTTGATAACGCCACGGTGAAGAGGTGCATTGCAAAACTTGCATTTGAAGCAAGTCAACTTTCTTTTTTTATGTGCCACACAAACTACGCAGTTTCGTTGGGCATTTAACTTTTTTGCCTTTATTTTCTATCCGAATTAATTTGTGCTTTTTGATGTCTAGCAAAAGACGTCCAGGTGGATCAATTTTATATCGTGGAGTCCGTGGTGCTGAGTTCGATGTACCAGGTTGTGGCTCTTCAATGTCCATCAAATCGTCTGCATATATATCTTTATTTTCACGTGAAACCATATTGAAGGATTTCAAAATTTACTGTAAGTAAAATTTGAACAACCGAACAGCTTCAAACCACAAAACATACTAAATACAAATGTAAAGTAGCACATAGGTTGCACAATGTGGTTGCAATCCACATTGCGCAATCCATGCGCTAGCTACAGTCGGGATAAATGCGCAAGCTACAGTCGAGATAAATGTGCAAGCTACATTCGAGATATATCATAGTACTATGACTCCCGCCTTTAAGCTACAGTCGAGATAAATCGTAGTACTACGACTCCCGCCTTTAAGCTACAGTCGAGATAAATCGTACTACTACGACTCCCACCTTTAAGCTACAGTCGAGATAAATCGTACTACTACGACTCCCACCTTTAATGTGTTAATTGCATTGACAGTATATTTATAAAATATATAGCATTAGCAAATCTTTTAAAAAATTTTATGAAGAGACATTTATTCATAAACGGGATGTAATATAAATAAAACAAAATTTCTTACCTGTGCTCATAATAAAAGCTAAAAACTAAATCCTGATTACCATAAAGCAGCAAATGCCCATACAAGTTACTAATATATTACAAACTAAATATGTTCAGAATTATATCAATTACATATACTGCTAAAAGATAAAAAACTGTAAACGATATCATAGAAATGCACATGCTTAGTTGGCAAGAAATAATTTACACTATATTATATACTATATTGTAAATTGGAGCTAAATTATTAGGTATAACTTAGCAACAACAGTAATAATTAAAATCCTTTAAAAATTATCAGTAGATTAAAGATTTTGATGACAAGGCTTTGCACACTTATCAGTTTTCATAGTATATATGACTGGTCATTTGAAATACTACAAGTCATCGAAAACAAGCTTTGTGAGAATGAGTGTTTGGATTTCATGAAATCTCCAAGAAGCATGAATACTTGAGATGTACTAAAAGCACATTTATTTCACACACAAAACTCAGGTGCAAAATTAACAAGTTTCAACATGTATTTCATTACGAATATGGCAGAAGTTATAGCATTTCAGTTTCAGTCTTTATTTTGGCGAGGACATTTAACATAAGGCTTGCAGTTGCTTGTGTGACTTTTTCCTTGAGTTGGTCAAGATTAGTCAACGATGCTTTATGGAAAAAAATCTAGTATAATAAGGCCATGGGAGCAAGTCCACTTTTAGAAATCCACCACCTTGGAAATAAGGATTTTATTCATCCTGCACAAGACACAAAAAGCGAGTTTGTGCTTGATTTGTTAAAAAAAAATGTGCCAAAATAAATTTCATCCCATATTCAATTCAGAATAAACCAAATGCAAAAACCAGAAGTACAGTAGCAGGCTGCAAGAGAAAGAGAGGTAAAACCAGGACCCTCTGGATACAAGGCCACGACATGTTTCCCAGGAGCAGCTGTGATGTCAGTGTTAGTAGGGATAGCATTTCACTCAACTCTTCCCACTGAGGCATGTGGTAGGTGGATTTTCGGAGTTTTGGCGGTCACTAGGCATTTGTTAGAACAGTCGACATTCTCTTTCAGTTTTTAGATATTTTAAGACTTCCACTTTCACATTATTTATTCTTCAAATTTTTAATATGGTTTACACGTGCTGTATATCCAACTGCAAAGGCAGCTACCCAAATGGTCCAAAAGTACAGGTTTTCTCTTTTTCCGATAGAGAAACAATTGTTAAACAAATGGATAAATGTGATTCATAGAAACAATTCCAAGCTAATGAAATTTTCGAATGTTAAGTGCTTTTTATTTTAATGAATGAGTTTATGCTTATCTGTGCTTAAAAACTGCTTCTGTGTTAAATATATTATAATTATCATAAATTAAAGCGAGTACATACATTTATAGAAAGAAACATATTTAATCTTATTGTAAGCATAATAGTGATTATATGAATGTGATGACTTAATCAAACTATTAATTAAATTTATGGCAGATTGAATTGTTTATCATTATGCTAATCATTCAATTTTTAGCAGATGGCCTTATTTATCATCATGCTAGTCACTTAATTTTTAGTAAATGGCATTATTTACTGAGTTAAGTAAATTGAACAAATGTATGACTTAAAATTAGGATTAGATAAAATGTAGGACTAATAAAAATTTGAAATTTTAAATACAATTTGTATGTTGCAAAATGCTTGCATTTAAATACCTCAATACATTTGTCACAGCAACAGTGTATTTATTAAAATCTGAAGACCTTGAAGTCTCCAAATCTGAAGACCTTGAAGTCTCAAAATCAGAAGACCTTGAAGTCTCCAAATCTGAAGACCTTGAAGTCTCAAAATCAGAAGACCTTGAAGTCTCAAAATCTGAAGATTTTGAAAAGACATGATCTCTGTACTTAATGACAATTTTGTTTCTAATATTAATGTGAAAAAATACACTATTTAAATTTATGTGAGTTAATGTCTGATATTCTTAAAATTCACTTAATACAACGTCAGGCATTAAAAATGAAATTTTACAAAATGTTGTATTTAATTCTAGCTTAGATAATTAAATCCGATAATAATAATCTTTGCATACAAGTGTTTTGACGATAATAAATATATAATTTATATGATAATGATGAAGCGCATAAAGCAAATTTTCTTATTATGTTTTAATTTTTCAATTTAATTAATTCATATAATTTTTTGTGCAAAATCGAATATATTGTCATACACATATATGCATGCATGTACATGTATAAGTTTAAAAGTGTCGTTAGGTCCAACTAATCACAGAAGACCTGAATTTTACCAAGTAAATTAATACATGAACTACATTAAAGCAAAAATCTAAGATACTATATATATACGTAAGTTAAATGTTATGTGTAAATCGAATGTAAAGTGCTGTCTTAAAAGAATTTAAACTGTAGTCTTTACGAAATATTATGGCATACATTTTTATTTGATGAAATGCAGTAAATGATGAAAAAGTAATATCATTCACCATTTATAGACCAGTTTTGAATAATTCTGAATTGACTGCAAAGTTAATTTCGATGATTTTCTTCTTTCTCTTCTTTTCCTCTGTTCGAACAATCCTTCCTCTGTGAGTTGACTGGATTGTAAATAAGCGTGTTCATATTATCTAAAGTATTTCTGTATTAATTGTTTAGAATTGTAATGTATAATTTAGTGCATCTTAAGGGCATTATTTTAGTAGTTTTATTCGACAGTAATAATGCAATGATAATTGTCTTTTTCATTTGTTGTGTTCAACAGTATCCCAGTTTAGGATTTGTTATACTTGCATTCCACATAATACTGCTAAATCATGTTATAAAATTTCCATGTAGAGATCTGAGGTTTGCTATTTAGATCTATATCAGACATCTATCAGAGGTTTGATATTTAGAATGCAATATAATATGTAATTCTCTCTGTACAACTAATGTCTCATAATTATGAAAACTTATTTATATCATTGCAAGCTATTTATATCAAGCAAGAAATTATCATATTTTGTTATTTTTTCAGATATGAGTATTTATTATTATTTGGCAACATATGTCAAAAATAAGATATATTACTTATACTTGTCAAAGATATTTTTTAGTCAAGGCATAAATTGTGGTAAGAATAATTACTACGAGCCTTGACCAATAAACATCTTTGATTAATTTTGTCTTCAATTAATGATTCCAGGGAAAATAGCTTCCTAATTTAAATAAGTTAGGACATATCTTAATCTTTTAGGATCTATATCCTGTCATCATGTCTTAAATCGTCTTTCTGTTTAATTATTGCATACAAATAAAATTCCGTTTCATTAAGTGTGAAGTTTCTTTCGTTAACAAGAGGTTCTCAGCAATTAAATTTGGTAAAATCAGTAATGATAACTTTTAATGGAATTAAAAAGTTCTAGTTATTCGTATCAAAAACATTTTAAAAATAAAAATCTTGGTTCTTCATATTCTAATGAAAACAAGGTATTTCTCAGATTCATAAATGATGAGAATTAAATATGAAAATTGAAGTTAAACTTATTTATAAGCCTGTCAAATGGATGAAAGGATCCCTACTGCAGTGACATCATGAACTGTGCGCAGTGGCCTTGAGTTACGTTTCAGGGAGTGTTGGTAAAATGTGGAAAAAACAAGAATTTTAAATTTGTTATCTTAGTAGTATAAAAGTAATGCTGATGAACTATGAAGAGAAGTTAGAATGACCACGTCTAAAAGCAGTCATATCACAACGTTTCATTAATGTCAACAAATTGCTAAGTGCAGCAGCAGATATTTTGTGCTTTCACTGCATTGTAAAAACATCAAAAAAGTTTCCACTATCTTTATTGTCAATTTCTGAGATGTCGTGCTACTTGGGTTACTGATAGTTTAGTTTTTTTTAAGAGGAAGAAAATGTTTGGATCGGTTTATTTTGTAACCTTTATTTTGAGAATATTAGTGCAGTTAAGAAATTTTCTAGATTGTTGTAGAAGATATTTTGTAAAAGAAATCTTTTTCCCTTTATGTTGTTCCATATATGCCTTAAATTTTTCAAAGTCATGTTTTCATAGGAATTTTTTAATGTGCTAATTAATAATATATCTTTTAAAAAACTTATTTCAGGCTATATTCATGATACCTACAAAGCCGCCACCATCTTTTCGGGATCCAGATAGATGGTCATCTGAATTTATAGATTTTGTGTCTAGGTGCCTAGTTAAAAATCCAGATGAGCGAGCTTCTGCTTCAGAACTGTTGCAGGTTAGTCCCTTTTGCAGTTCACAGTTAATTTAAGAGTTTTGCCAAGGAAGAAGTGGTGAAAGGAAAACAGAAGCCATAAGTTATGAGCAGCGTCTAATGTTCATTTCCAAATAACTTGATGTGTGTGTGGATATATTAGGTACCTGTTTTGTAACCAAAGGGGAAAAAAGTTATACAAATTAGTTACTTGGTAATTGACTGGAAAAAATAAAATTTTTACGTGCAAATCTAAACAGTTAGCATCAGTATGTGAAAGAAGTTATAACTTCTTTTGCAGACTATTATTTGGGATTATTGATAATTGCTTGTAGCTAATTATCTTCTGTTTTGTGTATGTATATTAAATAATTATTATTGTATAATTATTATTTGTTATTAATATTTAGTGTTGATGTATATATTGGTTGATTCTAAATTACTTTTACAAATTAAGAGGGGTGATAGTACTCACAGAGTTGCCAACGCTCCCGATTTTCGACCGCTCTCCCGCCAACCCGATTTACAATATATTTCTCCCGACTTTTTCTTATTCTTAAAATTTCTCATGATTTTTATGGAACTTGGCTTAATACTTTGTTATATGAACAAAAGAAGTGATTCTGGACATCTGAAAGCAATTGAATTTTCTCTAGATTATATCTAAAACAAAACCTTGCGAATTAGATAACTTCTGCTTTGTGAGTGAGAGCATGTACGTATCCAGAAATGTCATTCTCCAGTTCTCCAATGGGCATCGTGCTCCACTGCGTGGCACCTGGCATCATATATTAACCAATGAGGACAGAGCAAGCTGTTATTTGGATGTTCTTTAGTTATTTCGGTCATTTTGTCCTGAGTTGGTGTGAGTACACGTGCCTTCGGAAAATAGTTTTAGAAATTATCATCTATTGTTATGTCTGCGAGAAAGGTGAAATACTCGTGTACGTTTCAAAAATCGTACACAGTTGACTTTCCTTCCATTATTTCCTCAAGGAAATGTGATAAATTTGCGATGTGTACCGCCTGTCATTGCTATTTTTCGATTTCGCATGGTGGAAGGGCGAATGTTCTCAAGCATGTGCGTACACAAAAACACAAGGACAACATGAGTTGTTTTGAAAAAAAAAAAAAAAAAAAAAAAAAACGAAAAATTAAATTTTTCTTTGGAAACAAAGGACCAAAAAGTTATTAATGCAGAATGTCTGTTCTCTTCCTTTTTACTGGAGCACAACCTACCACTGAATGCATCGGATCACGCTGCAGCTTTATTTAGAAAAATGTTTCCCGATAATGAAATCGCAAAGAAATACTCAAGTGCAAGAACCAAAACATGTGCAATTGTTAAAGAAATGGATTTGAAAAATAAATCTTTAGTTATTGATTGCATTAAAACAGCTCTGTTCTGCCTCTCTACGGATGAAAGCAATAAAACCGATTCAAAACTGTATCCAATTGTTGTTTCTTTTTTTAATCCAGAGTCTTCAGAAAATGAGTACAGTTTACTTTCTGTCTGCACTTTAGAAGGACATTTGACAGGCTTTACTATAGCACAGCTAATTATTAAAACTTTAAAAGAAAATGCAATCGCCCTGGATAATTGCTTAGCACTTGGTGCAGATAATGCACCAGTATTGGTAGGCTTGAAGACTGGTGTTGCAGGCATCTTGAGAAATTAAAATTCAGATTTTCAGATTATGAGGTGCACCTGTCACCTCTTAAATTTAGCAGCTGAAAAAGGGGCAGCTTCTTTACCAATAAATGTGGAGGACCACATTGTTGATATTTACTATTATCTTGAAAGGAGTTCTAAAAGGAAGGAGTATCTTGAAAGGAGTTTCAAAAAGGAACGGGGGGGGGGGGGGGGGGGGGGGGGGGGGGGGGGGGGGGGGGGGGGGTGGGGGGGGGGGGGGGGAAAAATTGAAACATTTCCAACAGCTGCATAAAGCGCAATAACAGCAGTTTACAATTAGAAAACTTGATGAAGTTATAAAATCAGCTGGGATTGACACCCAGTGGAGTTTAATTGGAAAACTGAAAGATGCTGATGGAATTTTAAAATATAGTGAACTGTCTAGAATTATCTTGGCCGTCTTGACAGTTCCCCATAGTAATGCAGAGTGTGAGAGGATTTTCAGTGTTGTTGCGAAACCGAGGACTAAATTTAGATCTAAAATTAGTGATGACACATTAGAAAAACTTTTATTAGTGAAAGCAGGCGTACGGGGCAATTGCTATGAACAAAATTATGAAGTTTCTTAAAGAAATCAAAATCTGCCACTGTTTATAACATTTGTACGAAAAATGATTAAAGTTTTTGTTTCGTTTTGTTTTCTTAAACGATGCAAGTAATAAAAATGTTTCTTATGTGTAAGGTATTTTTGTGTTGCTTGCATTTAAGAATTAGTTACTATTTAAAGTTGATTCATTATTAAAAACTATATTTTCACCATTTAAAAAGTCTTTTTAACTTTGTGAAAACCCTCCTGATTTTTGAGTGTCATAGGTTGACAAGTATGTACTCATCCAGATGAGCAATAATTACCATAGGGCATAGGGTCACGTTCCACTCTGAGAGGCAGAAAAGAAGAATATTAGAAGTAACAGTGTTGGGAGAGCAAATGAATGAGACCAAATGTTGCACAATGAATAGTGAAAACCTCGCAGAGAGTGCACAAAATGAATAAAACCGAAAACTTGGCATTCGAGTGTTAATTAGAGCTGAGACTTGATGGATAACACTCAATTGCACATTGCAAATAATTGTAACAAGTTAATTATCTAAATTATTAGGGGAAAATTATCTATTGGAGGGAAAACTACTTTGATTCAAGTATTAAGGTAGCAGTTGTTTTTCTCTTAGCCATCTTCTATCCTGTCTTCCTGGACTTACTCTGCTGTGCTCATTCTACTTGAAGCACCCTTCTATGGGATACGAAGTTTTGACAGCCAGAACGCATACCGAGCTTTTCATGCTAATCTCAGCATGCAACAGACATTGGAGTTGGTTGATAATATTCAGCCCTTGATTACATAATTAACTTGTTGCGAGGTTGAGACCTTGCCAACTGTTGTAAGTTTAGAATTCTAATATTCTTCTTTTCTGCCTCTCAGAGTGGAAGCAACCCTATGTTCTATGGTAATTATTGCTCATCTGGAGGAATACTATTACCCCTCTTAATTTGTGAAAGTAATTTACGATCACCCTGTATAGTTTTAAGATATATTGATGCTTTTGATGACCTCTGGAATAGCAGTTTTGAGCCCAGCGATGGTTTCAGGGTTATTTGTGTAAACTTTGTCTTTTATATTGCCTCACAAAAGTGAGTCACAAGGGTTGAGATCATGAGAATATGGTGGCCAAGCAGTTTCCATTCCAGTAGCCTGTAAGTTACCCCAAAAGCAGGTTGTGCTTTCCAAAGTGCTTCTAGGATTTCAAAGACTGTGGGTCTAATGCGGTAGTGTATGAACCACATCTTCTCGAAATCTGGGTCACCTTGGATAGAAGGATGAGATCATTTTCTAAAATTTAACATAATATTCAGCAGTCACCATGCCTGCAATGAATATTGCATGGATTATTAAATTTTTTATGGAAAGAGCTGCAGATCTTGAACAACAATTTGTTGCAAAATCTTAAGTTGATTCCAATCTGTTTTGAAGCTTGTCTGATTGGGCAATGATGAAACACAGTTTATGTTTTCTCATTATTTTCAGACTTGCTCGACAAACAACATTGTCATCACAAACACTACCAGTTTTCTTGAACTTCTTAATCAGATTTTGGTTTCTCATAACACTTAACCCATTAACCGCCAAAACTACAAGGAATGTTTCTTTTCTCATGAAAATAATAAAAAAATATTAAATTAAGCATTTATAACATAAATTACATTGAAAATTTAAAAAATGCTCTTACCTGTGGAAAACGCGAGTGTTGCGTTCGCGCAACGTCAGCGGAATAAGACTACGGATGTTTAGTGAGTAGGATTGTACTCGTGTGATGTTTCTTTTGAGTGGAGCGCAGGATTACTTTTTAGCTGTATAACGTTTTTTTATAAATCTACAAATCACTTTACTTGTTAATTAATTTAATATTAAAATATACATTATATTTCTTTTACAAATACAGAGTATTTCAATTGAAAGATTCGAGCATGAAAAGCTTGATTACAATCATGATATAAAGCTACATTGCATACTCTGCATCTATAAACAGTCTGGCTATGGTACTCTTTACAACAAAGTCTTTTGTTATCAACGGACTTTACGATAAAATGTCTACTATCTCCATGCAATGGTTTTGAATTTACTAGGTCTTCCTGTTGCTGATCTATTTATGGCTAATTCTACACTCTCAATAGGAGTTTGCAAAAGGAATAATGCATTCTCGCATCTGAAATCTAAAAGAGACTTTATATTTGCAGTAGTAAAAAGTTTTAGATACGGTCTCACCTCATATAATTTATCAGTATTGTCAATTTGACTATTGCCAAATGCAAATTCTGCTTCATATTCCTGTACTGCAAACGTGATATCAATTCTCGTACAACAGGAACAGAAATGTCCTTATCAAAAGACCAATACATTTTTTTTTTTTAGGTAAAGAATAATATCCTACAAGCAATACTATTCCTATAAATCTTCTCATATAGGCTTCAGATGCAATAAAAACTGTTTTTTTTTCCCTCTGAGCGTATATATTTATCTGTTCAACAAGAAGAGAGTAAATGTCTAAACCAAAACGAAAATCAAAAATCTGTGCATTAGTTTTACCTTGCATTTTGTCTTTTATAATTTCTCTTCTATCTCTTTCTTCTTGTTCTTCCTGAGACATAACTAACAGTTCCTTTTTTTATCCACTTCAAGATTTCAATCTTCTGCTTTTTAAACTTTTTAGTATGACTATAACTGCTTTTAGAAGGCTGAAACTTAACTTCTTATGAGAATTTCAACTTTCCCAGCAGTATTTAGTAAAATATCATTATTTAAAACATTGCCATTCCTTTCTTCTTCGTCACTAGTTTCTGCAATTTCTGGGGAAACAACAAGAATATCAGTTTCATTCTGGTCATTATTAACATTATCATCATCTGTTTCTTCATCAAAAAATCTTTGAAGGCCTTCTTCTAATATAAGGTACCTCGTTCCTAGGCATTTGTAAAGCAGCCAGAACATGAACCAGAACATCTAAAGGAATGACTAAAAAAGGAGATTGACTACCCATTTCCTGCTGACGTCGCGTCAGCGCAACACCTGTTTTGCCTTGCTTCCCAACACAAATATAAACATCTGATGGATGTAATGTTCTGATAAACGGTGACCATGACTAAAAATAGATCACTCATAAAGACGGCGATTCTTTCGTTAAATATTTTCAGAAAAATTAATCGGTTGAAAATTTTGCATAAATTTTGTTTAAAGTATGAGATTAATTATTATAAACAAAAGAATTGTTGAAGGCAAATATTTTTTTACAGAAATAATGTTCATAATATTCCCTACACAAAATCATCTGCTGGTATAATATTTATATACGCATTTATTTTGACCGTTGCGTCAACGCAACACCAGCGGCTAATGAGTTAAACCAGTTTTTTTCAGCTTGTACTTCGCCACAAATTTCCTTTGAGCTGTAGTTGTGCTATTATTGCTTGAATAGCAGGCCTTGACAATGAATATATGTTCAGAAACATCATATTTGGATGTTTTCAGTGAAAATGAACAGTACTCATGTTCAGACAAATTCCCAACATGCCCTGCATTCATCCACCAAGTTTTATCTGAATCATGCCAGTCGTTCAAAAGTCATCAAGTGTTTTCCCCATACAGCTGAATAATTGTGACAGTGTATATTCTTTTCATGCAAATAGTTTCTTCAATTGAATTTTCAGAAAGGTGTCTTTTAGTATATAAAAACTTGATTAGAAATTATTATCTTAATTCTTATGGTATGATTTAAACTAGTTATCTTAATTGAGAATAAAATTATAGAGATTAGTTTCATGGAAGGTTGGTTATACAGGAGTTTAGAAGAAAAATCTAGACATTGCTCGGAAAAGTAATGCAATTTTATATTTCTTAGTTGTTTCTTTGTATTTTGTGGTACATGCATTGAATTATTCAGTTATTTAATTTGATAACCTTTTCATCATGTTTGGCCAGGCTAGTTAGGAAATTAAAAACTGGATTTTAATAGGAACCCTGAATTTGAAAAAAAAAAAAAAAAATAGTGAGCCCTTTCTGATTGCATTTGTTAATTTATAAGAATGATAAGCAATCCTTGTCATTAATTCTGTTTAGTAATTCCATTTTCAGCTTGGATTATGTATGAAAGTAAAAAAGAAATATTTTACAAAAGTATAGCAATTGTAGCTTTATGTGAAACTCTGATTTGATGATGAACTCTGTCACAAATGTTATTAAATTTTCACTAGATTTCAGCCTTTCCTAAAAGGATGATCTAATAATCTTTGAAAAGGAGGCTATGTGTGCTTTTGTTATGAGTGCATCACATAAATTTATTCAAAGACAGGAAACTGTGTGTTTTGTTTTATTTTTGATTTCATGTTTGTTGACTAACTTGAAAACCGTTAGTATCTTTCTCACAGAATACCCCATAAAAGCTTTTTGAAATCTGTTATTTCAGTATTTTTTTTTTTTTTTTTTTTTTCTCTGAGTGGATAAAACATGGCTAAAAAATGTGTCTTATGGTTTCTAAGAAAATGGTGAATAGAAAATAATTATATAGCATAATGTGCAAAGATAATGAACTTTATTTCAAATATTTATTAGAAATATAAGAGCTAATTAAAATAAATTAATTTACCTACATTATGTTCAAAAAGGTATTAATGTTAGTTTTTATTTATGTGATTTACAATGTATATTTTAAAGTACACTAGGGCTATCTGTCTGAGGGTATGGACTTTGTGGACAATTTTCGTATATAAACTGGCTGATTAAGAAAACCTCAAAAACTCCCATTTTACCAGCTGATTTGCCAGGGTTAAACATTGAATCAGACTAGTAGTGCTTACCAACCTTAGCCTTTTAGCTGTTAAATGGCATGTTATTTACAAGTGCATGCTTATTATATTCAAATTATAAGAGTTCTAATTTGATAAAAAAGTAATTTTGAGCCTGCTGTAGAAAGCAAGAAAGCTTTCTACAGCAGGCTAGATAGATCCTATTAATAAACATTGATTAATGTTTAAATAGCTAAAGCAGTGGAAAACTGTTAATATATTTTGCATTCCATTTGCAGCAGTTCAACCAGCAGGCTGCCTGTATGAAATTTTGTGGCTTTTTTTTGTCTTCTGTAATCTAAAACCAATCAGTTTCCTTAATTTTTCTAAGAAGTATTTGCTTGGTTTCTTTGATTATGGCAAAGTACATGAAGACTATCTGCCTAGGGAAAGGAATGCCTTTGTATAGTACTTTCTCAGAAAAACTGGCTCATATTCAAATCATAAAATCTGGCTACCTTCTTTTATGAAATCTGGTGGATGAAGACATGAATGAGAATATCTGATGTGGTTTGTGGTGTAAGGTTGCTATCAATGGCATGCTTAGTTTCCATCTTATTAACAGAATCCAGCTTTCGCATTGTCTCTTGATTAAGAAAGCAAAGGTTTGACCTTAAGCTGTTGGTAAAAGCTACGGAATATGATAGCTTTCTTTGGTTGTCAGAAGTCATGATTGGCTTATAACACAGCTAAATATAAAAGTATTTGAACTAATTTACTACTGTGTATTTCATCCTTTCCTTGTGATAAATGCTAATAAAATCTGCACATGTCTGTTTGTTTGTAACATCATCTTCTCCAGAACAGCAGAGAGTTGAGTTTCGAGAGAGATACACACAGATTCCAAAAATTCGTAGGAAGCCATTTCGACCATTCTTATCTTCATATGACTTTGATCAGCTGAGATATTAATTAAGAAACTGAAAATGCTAATTTTCACACCTTGGGAGTTGCTTTTTTCATTCAACTTCACTGCTGTTTGGCATGCTGCATTGAAGCCCGTACAAGGTTGAATTTTAAAATCTTTTGTAAACAGAGGTCGAGTAAAATTTTTTATGGAATAGAATTTAAAAATTTTGCTTGATCACAGCCTGCTCCTCTGGTGGGCTTGCCACCTGGTTATATGTATATATATTGTAAGACAGAAAGCATCAAGCTTATCGTTTTTTTAGTTACTCAAAACGACCATAGTTGTTTGTTTCAAAAGGAATTCTTGAAGTGACTTCATTGAACATGCTAATGCTCTCTTCCTTATGAAATGCTTTTCTGTATTATGAATTTTAAACATATGCAGCTCATAAGAATGATTTATAGTTTATAAAAATTATTATCTCCGAAAATGTGCAGTAGTGGAAATCAGTTTCTTTTCAGCGATAAATATTACTGAGTAAATGTGTGGAGTTGTTTCAGCTGGAAAATTATTTTCTTATGAAACTATGCACCTTTTTTAGTGCTTTCATTTGGAAGGTGGAGGGGTAATAATTACATTTTTATATCATTTTTGTATATGTATTTTTAAAGTGTCAACTGAAATACTTAACATTTAAGAGCAGTTATTTATTCTCAGTTCATTGTGCTTACAAAATCTAGATTCTAAGTTCTAAGGCATTCAAATATGACCTAAAGTTTTGGATTTTTCATGCACTGATTACAGTGATACCAAAAATGACCTTGGATATTCTGACCATCATATGTTGTGCCTATGATAATGAGTGGGTAATACCTTGATTCATGTAATAAGAGATTATAGTTAAGTTTTTATTGGAAATATAAAGGGGTGTCCCTTTGTTGAAATCTAAAGCTCCCTGATTTTGATCAGTCTTTACAGATAATGAAGAATACATTTTTATAAGCGAACTCTCTCTGGCAAAATGGGACAGGCTGCAATATTCTCATTATAGCTCCCAGTATCAGCACAGCAGTGTGAGAGTAGACTTGTTTTGCAAGTTTGTAGCAGCTATTCTCTTTTTTCAGTTATGCCATTCGTCAAGTCATGTTTGAATGTCCTGATGTGTAAAATATTTTTTGAGCATTTTGCCCCCCTTAATTTATATTTATGCCATTTTCAGCATGAATATATCAGAAATGCCAAACCTGTGACAATCCTTCAGCAGATGATTGCAGAAGCTAGAGAAATTCAAGAAAATGAAACGTATCGGAGAGACAGGATAAATAATTTGGAATTTGTGAGTAACAGTCTTTATATATTAACAAATATTATATATGTATTTATGTTAACTTAATAACAGCTGTTTTTAACAGAATGATTCAAAATTTCCTGTTCTGATTTTAAAGGGTAGGTTTGGCATACACCATTTGTTTGGAAACATATATCCGAAAACAATACTTGTAGGAGGTAGAGGGTGGCACTGTTAGGCAGTAAATTAGGTGAGCATTCTGAGTCATTAAATTGAGTAGGATGCATTTCTGCATGAATGAAGGAAACAGCTGTTATGTTATTTATTTGTGAGTAATGTAACAGCCATATTGCTGCATTTAAACAGAAATAGGTGAAGCATCATATATTTTGAATAGTTCCAAAACATGTGCATGTCCCATCATCAAATGCTTGTGTATTGTAATGTAACAGCCATATTGTTGCATTTAAACAGAAATAGGTGAAGCATCATATATTTTGAATAGTTCCAAAACATGTGCATGTCCCATCATCAAATGCTTGTGTATTTTTAGAAAACTGTCAGGAATGAAGGACCTGCACACTTGCATGTGAAGATATAGTTGTAGTCCAACCTGAATGTAGTAAAAAGTATATTAATTGATTTACATGATATTTGATGTTTCAGATTGGAATCCTTGGGAAATATTATACAAAGAATGCTTATATCCCTTTCACATGCAATGGAGGTAGTTATTGGAGGCAGTGTCTTGAAGTCACACTGAAGTGTTGTGAAGATGGGCTTTCCAGGGTGAATTTTCTTCTCTGGTCAAGCTTCTATCTTGCATGAGGGTGTTTAAAGTTCACAGTGTGTTTATAGGGAATATGACAACCCAGGGTATACATACTCTAGTGCTTTGCAGTAATGCTTCATTATCAGTGTTTCGGAGAAAAATACTGCATGCTATTTCTGAAGGTGTTGACAGTCAGTATAAGGTTTCAGCAAACAAGGATTTACATTTTTACATTGATGTGTGAGACTATCCGAATAGAACTTTTTTGGCATGATAAATTAACTGAGGAAGATCTGTTGCTTGGCCACTATGATCAGCCAGTATACATGCTATTGCTTTCTTCTGAGTTTAACTTACAGACCATGTCCCTGAGATATTCATTAAATCTGTTGCTGATCTTGCTGCACATCATTGAATCAGCTGGTTACATTGCCAGAGACATGTTTGGTAATCCAAGTATTGACATTCTGACATGGGTAGTGCTTCTGATGGGAAGTACTTTAAGCACCTTATGAGCATTACATGCCTTACAACAGCTTATAAACATTTTCTAGGAAATGTCTTGTAATGCAGTCTGTGATTCTTTACTTTTTATTTTACTTAGAACTCCTCTGTGTTGTCTTTGTAAATGAATAAATACTTGTAAATGAATGCAATTTGTTGATATATTCTAAGTATCCTTTAAAAGTTTGTTCAGGAAGTTTTAAATTATACTGTTTGACATTCCATAGTTTTCAGCAGTTGTGTTTAAATCTATCTGTGGCCAATAATTGTTTTGACTAAGAATTACAGTTGATTTTAATAAATTTTTTAAGAAAATGTTTGAAGTGATATTTTATGAAAATTAATTGCTTTTAATGTGGGAAAAAATGTTCTGTGTTACCCCGTATTTTACAGAGTGGTTATAATTAAAGTTCCACCTTGAAATGGTCATAAAAGGAAAACTACTGGACCAAGTGTTATCAAACTTGGTATCATGTAAAGGAGGTCATGGGAATTTATTTTCTGCAGGGAAAAAAGTTTAAAAATCTCACCACCAGGAGGGAAAGGGTGATATGCAATATTGCTAAATGAAATAAGGGTCGGAATGTAACTTAACCTATTGTTACAGGGGCTTAATATGCTGCATATCCTTAAGAAACAGTGACTTAAACAAAATTGCCATTTTAAGGTGTTAAAGGCGATAAAAGTTGGGTGCGCCATCTGTGTAGCAGAGAAATGTTTCTGTAGAAACCCCAAATTAGAGATTAGAAAATGTGAGATTGCAAATCAGTAGCAAAAGTGTGCGCACTCTGGAAATCGTTTTCCTACAGATTGCTAATTTGGGATTTTTGAAGACTGAAATTTAACGATACTCCTGCAAGAGAATCTTTTGCTTTGAATTTCTTGCATGGATGGAAGTGGACACACATTGCCCATGGAACATTTTGTGGACAGATAGGCCCATTTTAGTCTAATTGGTGATCCCAAGTAGCATGGTAATGTCGTAACGACGTCAAACTGGTCGCGTTTTGTTTAGTGCAAACTGGTCGCGAGTCATGTTACAAAAACGTTGCAATATGTCATCTTTAAGACGCCCAGATGTCCGCAAAACTCGACTGTTTTGCAACTGTTGCAAAGACGTCTTTATTACGTCTTTGCAGATGATGTTTTTGTTACACAGATGTTGTTATTGCATCTTTCGCAGGTGATATTTTGATTGTGAAAGCATCGTATCATGACGTCTTAACAACGCCTAAATGTTTGCAGAATTCTACCTTTTTGCAACAGTTGTGAAAATGTTGTTATTATGTCCTTGTGTTATACATTGATTTATGCAGAAAAATAAGCTTAATAATTAATATATTTTTCTTCTTTTTTAAAATTTTGTATTCCTTGTATTTATCTAAAGTTTAAATATTTTATCATTTCCTGAAAAACCAAAAGATAATACAATTTTTTGTCTTTAGACTAAATATGCATAATTAATAATAAAGCCTTATTTTCAGAACTTTTAAACTATAGTTTTTAAATTTCTCTTTAGACTAAATATGCATAATTAATAATAGCCTTAATTAAGTGAGAGTAATTATGAAAGTGTTTATTATAAATATATAACATTAATAGTAGTTTTTAAGTAAATAAAACTCAATCAGACATAAATAAAAGTAAAGATATATATGTGGGTAAAAAAAAGAGTGTTTATGATAACAACATTATCACATTTATTTCTTTTAAATCTCAGAGACTTTGAAAATTGCCCCTGTCATGATAGAAAGTGGTTCTTAAGGTAACGTAATCAGTATTTTACCTGACCTCAAAGTATAAATTTTTTCATATTTCAAAGTAAAAAATATAACCAGTAACTTCTATATCGCCAAGATATATGCAAATGAAAGACTATATAAAGTAGTTAATAAATCTGATCAAAAATATTTCATACAAAAATATACCCAAATCTAATAACCAAAAAAAAAAAACTTCCCATATTTATGTCTAAAAGGAAATAATAACCTAACAAACAACATGCATTCCAGCACTATTTAAGAAAAAAACATGAATTAGTAGTGTTTGACAGTACAAATAGCAGAAGGAAGGTAACAGAACTAAAATTTCCAATTAATAAAATAATATTTGATTTTTTTAAATAGTAAGCAACTAAAAGTGCAATAATTATGGATTGCAGTATGTACTAGTAATGCTGATGGTTCTTAACACCATTTCTTTTGATTATATGTTAATGTATTTACTTATTTTTAGTTTCCACACTTTAGAATAGTGGTAGATTACAATGATTATTTCATGCACTCTTTATAATCAATAACTTTCCTTTTGTTACTGTACAGAAATAATTTAAATAACATAGTATAAAATAGTAAGCTAAGTATGCTAAAGTAAGCTCTTCGTTAAATAGCACACGATGAAAATTTTTGTTTCTATTTATTATGAATTTCTTTGTTATCACAAGCACATAAAAAGTAAGCGAAGAAAATAGAATATACTTAAATTTGATAAAAAATAAAACCTTCTTTCCAACATTCATTTATTGAGATAATCTAATAAACATACATAAAGGCAATATTTAAAAAAAACATGAAATGCACAATGTTTGGAAGAATAGATACCAAACGAAAAGTAGTAAATTTGCAATTTGCAATCAATAAAAAATATTTAGTGTTTTTTAATATTACACAATTAAATATCACATAATTATAGATTACAATACAGTACAAAGTCCGAAATCCGAACGTCCATTATCCAGAATGATCCAAAATCTGGACCTCAAAGCCATAAACTTTTTTTTTATGCTTTACACATGCGCATTTGATTTGCCTTCCATAATAAAACATGTGGAGATTCTCATTTAAAATTCCAATTCTTAATTTCACTTAGGCACTAAACAAAATACCTCATTATGGAAAAACAGTCATGTAAGCATACATTTTTTAGATTAAAATTTTGGCTCCATAGCTGAGTATCTGCTTGGCATACATCTCAAACATTCCATTCCATTTACCACTGTTATACTGGGCCTAGCCTGGGGGAATTTGCAGGCTTTTTGCCAGTTGTCTTCATAAATGGCATCCTAGAAGTAAATATATGTATAAAGGTGTCACAGAGACAAAATGTGAATAATAAAAAGAAAGGTGGCACATTGCCACTGTAGAATTTTACATCTTGGGGTGGTGTAACATATAATTCGAGTACAAGATGAGTTTACATACATTAAGAAGATACTAAAGATAATTTCAAATAGCAAAAAACATAGTTCCTCAGACGAAAGTTCCGATTAATGAGTCTTGATTAACATTCCAGCATGTGCTCTCGGCAATTTTACGTGAGCACGCATGAGTCTTATTTTTTAAGACATCCGTTATTTTACCGTTTTTGGCACGAAAAATGACAGAAATGAGTGAATAAATTTGTTAAGAAATAAAATATAAATCTTATTATTAATCTTATTATTGCAAAACATAAATATCATATTCAAATATAAGTAAATTATTTTTAAGTTCTTTTGTTAGTGAAATGAAAATGCAATGATGTATTTTATTATAGAAAATTTTAATTTATTATTTAATAATTATATTTTAAAATTGAAGCTAATTTCAATATTCACCAAAGACAAGTATAGACAATAAAAAAGGAAAACACGTTGGTAGGAAAAAAAGGAAGTTTACAATTACTTACTTCTGCAAGGAATTTTACTTCATACTGGTTACAAAAACGCACTTTAAACTAACATTAATGTTTTTATTTATTTCTAAAAAATAGAAATAAAAGAAAATAAGGAATG